CCCAGCGGGCAGGTGTGAGGGTGTGGCGGTGACAGCGGCACCCGGTGTGTCCCGCACGGGCAGCCCGGGAACGCCGTGAGGAGCCCCCGGTGGCCGGGAATGGAGCTCGGGGAGTTCCCACAGCTGCGGTGGAGCCCGGGGTTGGAGCTGGAGCTGTGTGGGGAAAGGGTTTAACTGCAGGCGGTGGGAGGCTGGGGTTTAATCTGGGGCAGTGTAGGTTGGGGTTTGGTCTAGGGCTGTGGAGGCTGGGGTTTAGTCCAAGAGCATGGAAGATTGGGATTTTACCCAGGGCTGGGGTTTAACCCAGGTCCGGTTTTTATCCCATGGCCATGGAAGATTGGGATTTAACCTAGGGCTGGGGTTTAACCCAGGGCTCCAGACCTCAGGTGCTCCTCTGCCCTTCCATCACCTATAACAGAACCCAAACATGTGCAGAAGCCTGGTGGAGTTGCCAGTGCTAAAAGCATTGTTGTACAAATGTAGTTACCTCGGGGAAACTCTAGGTAAGAGAACATTCAGGCTCTTGGCTGGCTGTAACAGTGAGACTCAGGGCCTGTGTTTGAAGAACCTGCCCAATCTGCCTTTTGTGTCATTTTCCCCCCATTTCTGTGCCAAACATCACCCCTGAGGGCAGGTGCCCATGGAGAACTCCTGTCTCTGCCTGTTGCCTGTGTGCTGTGCTCAGGTGTAGCCTGGAATGCTGCATGGTGACCTGTGCTAGCTCCAACCTCTCACCACCAGCCCAGGAAATTTGGTTTAGTTATTTTTTTCCTGGCTTGGGTAAGAGAGGTGCTGGTAAAACAGAGAAAAGAGGGCTCGCTGATGGCGAGCAAAACACTGCCCTGTTTTCAACTTGCTTCATGTTCCTTTTCCTCAGGAGAAGACGGATGTGGAGGGAACGCTGTTTGTTTACACAAGGTGAGGGCACTGCACTTTGACACCTACAGGTGAAATCTGTGGATGTGGAAAAGCTGGCTGGGATGGAGCATGGCTGAATGAAATAAAATGCTCCTCTTATGTTTGAGGCTGAAAAGAAACTGAAACTGCCAGAAGCAGATGTGGGAAAGAAAAAACTCTGAAGGAGACATGACCTTGTATTTTGATAAGACTTCCAAATGTGATTTAAATGTCAGTGTGGGTAAACTGTAGAAATCTTTTGTGTTGATTTAAATAGGATTTGCTGTTTAAAAGTGTGTGAACAAAAAAAGAGTGAAATAAATAATGATTGATATTGCTTAAAGGAAGGGAACAGCAGAGCTTTTGAAATATTGGGTTCCCTACTTGGGGAACTTTCATACTATTTGTGTCTGTTCATTTTTCATGCATATTTCATCCAACATTTTGGGTGCTTTTCATTCTTTCTTTTAGCAGCAGCAACTCTGGTTGTGGCTTTCAGAGCATCATTTTTTGCACCATTTGTGCTAGCACATGTATCTGTTCTGTTGTGAAGCCTGATCTGGGCTGGGGTTTCCATACCAGTGCCCCAGCATTTCTCTGTGACTGCTGTTAAAATCAGAAAGTTACACAGTCAGCAAGTCTTGCAGTTGCTGCTGAGGTGTAACACCAAATCAGAATGTTACTTTTTCAGCTTTTATATCAAAGAGGGTTTGGTAGGAGAGCTGAGAAAGCAAGAAATGGTTTTGAGAAGTGTGTGAGGTGACAGAGAGGCCCAAGAAAGAGCCTGTGAGCTTTGTGGGAAGTGGGAACCCTGGTTTCAGTCTCTGCAGCTCTCCTGTACCAGCAGTGGCAATGGTCATCAGTAATTTTCCTAAGCTGTTCTGAGGTAAGTGGGGATCTGATGCTGTAAAATTACCACCAGGGGAGGAAAGCAGAGCCCTTGGTTGTGCTGGCACTGGGTGGATGTGGTGACTTGTGTGCTGCCAAGCAGAATCAGTATTTCCTGGTGTGTTGGTTTCAAAGCTCAAAAACCGACAACATGAAACCTGGTCCTTCTGGTATTTGTTATTTTCACTGCTGTTTTTGTTGCCTGAGGAAGTTTTCGTTTAGGGCACAGGCTGCTGCCTGGCTGCACTTTAGGCAGCAGCATGGAACAGGTTGTGAACTGTGAGTAACATCATGCATTGCCCTCATCATCAGTTTCAACTTTAACTTTCTGTGACTTCAAAGAAATTGATGAAGTCCTATGGAAAAGACATTGCCAGCAGACAGTAGGAGACCACTGGTGCTGCCTTTGTTTCTTCTCATTACCTTAAGTCACAATGTAAAATAGTGTTACCATTTTATTTGGGCTGACTTATTCACTGCCCAGCTTATCTTTGTGAATTTGAGGAACAGTCAAAAAGTCAGATTTCCAACTGGGTGAACACCAGTGGAAGTGGACTGTTTGTTTGTTTTAAGAATCCTTGCAAACAAGGATTCTTGTCAGGGATTTCCCTTTTGTTTATTTTTTGGTTGACTCTAATGCTGTAATACAGGTTCCTGTGTTTTGGTTTCACAGAGAAATCCACACACCAGCAATTAAGCAGAGGTGGCACTTTTCCCAAATGTTTAGCCTTCATCTTTTCCTTTCTTGCCAAACTTGGTTTGAAAGGAGTGTCTCCTGTCAGAATCATGACAGGTTTAGCACTTTTATCTAAATGACTTGAAGAGTAATCTCCATGAATGAGATAATGATTTAGTCATAGCATGGTTTAGGTTCATCATTTATCAGGGATCATTCAGGGATGGGGGAGGATTCACAGCTGCTCTGGGGCAGTCTGTTTCAGTTTCTCACATGGTCACTTTTATCCTTGCATTTTAGGTGTTATAGAAAATTCTCTCTGTGATGACTGTTAGTATCTGCAGTTGTTAGTCTGAGTGCTGAGAACTTGGCCTGCTCTGACTTGTTTTAATTGCTGTTTTCTACTCCAGTGAGGAGCTGTAGGGGTAGATGGTGGCATTGGATCGTGTGATGCTGATGGTCTGTTTAGTTCTCACACATAATGTAGGGCTTTGCCATAATTAAAAGGATTACCAAAACTGCAAGAGCCAATTGTTACTTCCTTGGTAACAAAATTAGATTTTTGTAGAAATAAATAACTACTGAATTTGGAGCACTACACAACAAAGAAATCTTTGTGATTTCCTTTTTCCTCACCTTGATGGTACTTCTACTCGTTCCTTTTCAGATCGGCTTCTCCAAGGCATGGTTTCACAATTATGAACAGACTGAGCATGGAAAATCGAACAGAACCTATTACTAAAGACCTTGATTTCCAGCTCCAGGACCCTTTTCTGCTCTACAGAAATGCCAGATGTAAGTATGTGACACATTGGGTTAAATACTGGAGTCAGGTCCCCTTCGGCCTGTTCTTGGTTAAGGTTGTCCTAGTGTTTAGTGAAATTGGAGGAATGCATTTTGCTTTTCTGGTGTGCTGAAAGAGAAGAATTTCTCAGTGTTCCCTAAAATGCCACTCCACTAAAGAAAGTGTTAGGATGTGCTTAGGAGTACTCCCCTCATTTAACTGACAAATTGTGGATGTTTGTGGTCGCCCCTATGTGATGGGCTGAGAGAGACAGTGTGTGAGTGTGTTTCCTGAATACACCCAGTCACTGCTGGGAAGTCTCAGTGTAATATTTGTAGTCTTTCTGCTTAAAAATAGACAAATGCAGCCAATCCAAACCCTGTGTTCTGCTCCAGCTCCAAAATACTGTTCTTAGAGCATGTTGCTTCTCAACTATTAGGCGTAACTCTTGACAACATAATGCTGAGTCTAATTTAAACCCCGCTGAAAGACAAAGTTATTACTTTGGGCTTTCTGTTGATACTGCATGATTATCTTTGCACAAGAATTAGCAAGTGTCAGGCGAGCTCAGAAATGAGTGGAAGACATGAGGAAGCTTATTTGTGCATGCAAATCTGCACACAGCCTGTTACCATGTGCAGGGAGCAGTTGTAAATCCAGTTTGTAGCTGTGCTTGGAAGCAGAGCTGTAGTACCTGATCTGGGCTTTGTCCTTTATGCATAAAAGCACATTACAGAAATGGTTTATGTGAACTGTGACGCTCAAGTGTTCCCTCTGGATGAAGTAAAGACAAAAGCAATCTGTGCCTTGCAAAGCAGCCCAGTTTGATAATCTGCTAGACCTTCTTATTTATTAAACTAATTTGGAGCTGAGAAATGCATCAGGAGGGAATCCCGTTGTTCACACACACTATGTGGTAGGAGCAATAGAAAGAACATTCTAAAAAGCCTAAATGAAACTGCTATTTTTGAGAGTATTTGCTAGGCTGACAGAGAATTGGAATTCAGGAAGAAATGGAAAAAGAGTTGCAGACATCTCCAGGCTAACACAGACTGGGCCAGACATTATGATTTTAGGTACTATGACACCTCTTTGTTCCATTTGATTTTGAAGGCTTTTTCTTACATAGCTGTAATCTTATTTAATCTCATTTTGGAACTTCATTGGGAGTTTATGTATCTATATGCCAATATCTACCTTTTGAAACCTGATCTGTCAATTTTCCATTTTTGTTGACACAAGTGGTATAATGAGTATTTAGAAGTTGTCCTAAATGTGTGGTGACAGAAAATAAATTTTTAATCTGATTACTGCACTTAAATTGTAATTTGTTTCTTTTTTTTTACTGAGAGAAAAAACAGGGGTTGGGAGATGTAAGCTCTTTTTTCACTAAGAGATGTGAAAATTTTAGTTTTGCAGGTCTCAAATACAGAGAGTAGCAGCCAGTGCTTCTGAGCAGGATGCCTGAGTCTGTGGATCTGATTTTTACCAGGGTTAGCTGTTTGATCTAACCATGGGTAAATCTATACCTCTTAACTGAATTGAGAATTTGGTTGTCTGAGAGCAGATTCATGTTTGTTCTACTAAAAAAATCCCAAACTTATAAATCCTGTCATTATCAGGTGAGTTCTGATATAAGGATATGTTACCCCTAGCTGTTTATCTTCCTAAAATATTCCTACAAAGGCTTAATTATTATTTCTTCAGGAAAACTGAAGGTTTTGATACTTCAAAGGAAAAGCTGTTGTTTTCTCAGATTTTCATGATGACATCTGTTTCCAGAGCAAATTGGAAGACAGTTTTTACCAACTCATTTGACTTTCCCAGGTTTTCTTTAGGTCCCTACAAATAGTTCATGTGGTGATTTCTTCACTGGGTTGCAGACACCTCTTTCCCTTTCTTCCTTATTTTGTATTTCAAAGCCTTTGCAACATGAAATAAAGGGATCTCCTTGACAATAGGTGTGGGTTTTCACAAGGGTCTCATCCTAACACAATTCTGAATATCCTCTTGAATTTTCTCTATGAATATTTTCTTGCTCTTGTGATTTACTGTACAATTTGCCTTTGGAGCTTTTTTGCAAAACTAAGGCTTGAGGCTTATTCCTTGTTAAATGAAGTTCTCATACAAAACTGGGGCGTTTAGGCCCTTATGTTGTAATATTATTTTTATCTCCTGCTTTCACATACTAACAGGGAGTACTCAGTAATAGCTCTGTTTCCTTGGCAGAACAGTGGACAGTTTGGCAGTAATACCTAACACTATCTGGAAACAAATTATCTTTTTCTAAGGTGTTGTTTGACTTGGTGACTTCTTAGGCTGTTTTTCATACGTGTCTTCTTGTTAGAACGAACAATTTCCTCTGTGTTTCTAATTGCTGGCCCTGCCCATTGTTTTGTTACTTCTAATATTCAAAATTCATTTTGTTCAGCTGAGTATCTGTGGCTGGTTGTATCACACAGTCTAAAATAAAGGTGGTACTTGTGTACTGGACAATCCCAACATTTTGTCATGTAATGGCTGTCCTTTTGTACCCAATATATGATCACAACAGAAAAAAGTTTTCCAAAATTACACCTAAACTCCATGTTGGAGACACAGTCTAATCCCAGGACTTTTCAGGCTGGATTTGGGATCCATGCCAGTTAATGTTTGCACTGATCCACTGTTTCACAGCAAAGTTTTGTTTGGGAAATCTGTTAGGGTAGGGCTGGGATTATTCATTTCAAAGCCAGGAGGGAAAATCAAATCACAGTTTTTAATGGCAGCAGAAATTTGTCCACAGAGGAACAGAAGGTTTATGGATCAAACAGGTAATTTCCAAAGTGACCTTTAAACTGCTATAGTTTGCACTGCAGTTTTAGATGCTTGCTTTCTGAGAGCAAGACAGTAGTTCTGGTTTTGTTTAGATGATCTAACAATTTTAAAGATTTTTTAAAATTCCATGAATTATGTATTTGACTAGTCTTAATCACATAATTATTACTTTTTTTCTTTAGTTTTTGGTGATAGTTGTTGGGAAAACAAATGTTCAGAGCCTGCTGCTTAAGCCTTGATGCTGATTGATATGAGATAGTTCACAAGAAACACATAGCAGTAAATTATTGATTAAATTACCTTAATTTTCTCCCTTTAGGAACTATGTAATAATTACAGCTATTCCCCACTCTCTACTGTACCAGGTGTTTATGTTTGTGTGCTGGGTCAGGGAATAATTTCTTAATTTCACTCATTTACCTTTTCATCACTGAATACTGCTTTTGATGCTTATAGGAAACAGGGAATTTGGGGAATATTAAGTTGCTTATCTCAGAGCTGGGCTTCACCTTGAGCATTTCAGCTGCCAAGAACACATGATCCTACCTTAAAATAGTATGCTAATTGTGACAATGATCTGATACAGGTTAATTGGGTGCTTTTCTGCTATATTGAGTGGAGAAGGAAATTGTGTGACACCTCAAGCAGAATTCTCTCCCTGACAGTTTCTTCTATTTGGACACAGAAGTTACTTTTCACTTCTGTGCCACACTGTAGCAAGGGCTTTGCTCCTGTCAACTCCTAAGGGTGAAATGGAATAAAGCCTTCTAGTGAAAGGTGTCTGCTGAATTTGGGTTTTTGCAGAGGTTCAGCAAGTGGTACAAAAGCAGAGCAGACATGCCTGGTTTTGCCAAAGCTGTCCATGCACACGTGGTCTGTACATAACCTCATACTTGTTTCAGTTTTTCACTTTAACCTGCTGCCATGTGTCTATCAGAACCCTGAACATTTTGTATTATTTTCCCAGGTTCCTACCCTGCAGACACATCTGGTAAATGCGATAGGAGGGAGGGGGAAGTTAGCCAGCTGTCTAAAGAAATTCTGTGGGTTTTATCTGTGGTTTGTGGGGTTGTTTTTTCTCTTCCCCTGTAGTTCATCATTATGTATGAAAATTTTTCCAAATATATGCTTGGGGGCAAGTGATTGTAAAATTTTTAGGAAAAGGTAACTACATTTTCCTCAAACTATTATTTTTCATTCTTAGATTGTGCTACAGCAGCCAGGAGCCCTCTCAAATGGAACAGCTCATCTTTTGAGACTGATTGTGGCTCATTTTAGTTCACCCTTCTAAGGAAATACATCCTGATAAAAATACAAATGCATTATAAGTGTCCCACCTCTGCAGTGACCTTGCAAGTAGCATTTCTCTTGTAAGAAACATCTTAGCTTGCAGACTGAAATACTTTACTTCTGAAGGGAAAAGGTAGGAGGCAACAAGAAGAAAATCGGTGTGATATGTAAAAAAGGATATATAATCGAAAAACAATCTTCTTTTGACTACCATAGTGTCTTTTTCCCCTTGAAATGTGTTCATAGTCTACACTACATTATTATGTAATACAATATTTTAAACCTCTTCTTTCTGCTGATTTTTTTTTTTTCATTTGAGAATGAAACCAGCATTTGGTGGTTAAATTTCCTTGTGTATATATTCAGACTTGGCCTTATTGACCAATAAACTACTGCTTGCTCAATTGGGACAGGCAAAATAGATATTCCAGCCTTTGTCTTTATGATGTAATAGTTTCTGTTCAATATTTTGGGTAAAAATACCAGTTTAGAAAGCAGAACTTTATTTATCAGCCTCCTTCCTGCTAACATACAGTATCAGGTCCAATATCAAAACCCCAAGAGGAAGAATGCAGAAAATAGGAATGTGTATTCAATTGATTATTCCCCAAATGCTCATTCATCTTGCAGAATTTTGAAACAAGTACCTGTAAATGTGTTTAACTTACTCCAGTTTGTATTATTTTTTCTCTAAATGTCTCCAAATCAGTGGTCTGCTGATTCAGAAATATTACATGGCTTTCTGTTGCTGCATCATTAGGCAAAATGTGGTGGTTTTGTCACAACTGAATAACTTAAAACCAGGTTTTTTTAATCTTTAATTTGTTTGCAGAACTATTATTCTGGCCTGCTACAACCTGCATGTTTTTTTTTCAGAAAATATTTATTTTTTTTAAAACTCTTT